GTGGAAATTTCCAGAGCCCTTCACTTCGGCGTCTCTCATAATTGTATTGTGGTTTTGGTATGTTAAACCCCACATATTATTCAACCAAGAAAATGTTCTGTTGAATTTTTATTGACGTCTGTGACAATAAGTTTGTTTAGACAGACTGAAATTGGCAGTGTTTTTGCTCTCCCATATAAGAGCATCAAGTACTCTTAATCATTAACAACACTTTCTAAACAGATTGATGGTACCTGGTTGTCATTTCCTAATTACAGTGACTATTGCCCACGCTTGTTCTTGAGCTCTTTCGAAGCTGTTTTCGTCCATATGGCCTCATCAAGAGTGAGGTCCACGGGACCACTTTTAGCTCTCCCATAGTAGAGTACCTGGTACTTTATATCGTTACCCACTATTTCTAAACACAAGTAACGCTCATGATAAAACAAGCTCTAAATATACACACACTCAGAGAGGACACAGACACGCGCTTGTCTGTGTCCTCTCTGAGTGTGTGTATTTTTAGCGCTTGTTTCATCATGAACCTTTACCAACACGCCCAACTGGCAGTCATCCTACAAGTGACGCTCTAATACATTTCTGGGCAAAGAGTCTGTCCTTCATCGTTTAGAACACGGCCTCATCGAGCGTGAGGCCCACGAGTGATGGCTTTATGCTGTCCCATAGTAGAGTAGCAAGTACTCTAAGTTGTTAACCGCTTTTTTTTTTAAACACGCTCTCCCAATGTCGAGCTACTATGGTGCTTTAAATAATCTCCACGTTAAATGGTCACGAAGACCCAACGAGAAATGTGCCGGTCAGTTCACAAAGCAGCAAAAGTTGGTGCACCTTCGGCCAAAGCAGAAGGCATTGTGGAGCTGGCCTGGCGTTACTGTATCCTTTCTGTCACTCTAACCTCCCTTTCCTACCACCCGGCTATACTGTATTAACAAGGCTATGCTGTGCTCATATAACGTGCCTGTGTAAACGAGTGGTTACGATGCATTCTCGCCTTTGTATTGTGGGTACACGCGGCTTAAAGCTTGGGCTCTCCTAGAATGCATCTTTCCTTCAGACGCGAAGCACCGTTTGCTCGTGACTGTGTCCGTCCCTCGGCGAGCGTCCACTCCCCCGGTGCGCACGCGCCAACTCTCTCCCCTCTCCTCGCGTGAGCATGAGGAGGTGGGAGAAAGTAACGTGTAGGAGGTGGCAGAGTGCTGCCTGCCACCTCCTCACAGGGGGGAATGACAAGAAGGGCAGAAATTACGTCAGCGCATGCCATGGCCTTAAGTGCGCGTGATTAAATGTGATGGCTCTCTCCCGTTATGATTCCGGTGCGCTCAAGCGGGGCTACTGTGTAATGTTAGCGGACTCTCCGGTGAGCAACGTGGACGTGTCGCGGCACCCCCCGGCCATAAGCGCAACTTGTCTGAACACCGCGCTTGATTTACGCCACCTCTAAGCCAATAACATGCTGTCCGTTGTTCAGCGTCAAACAGCAGGCACCGGCAGCTCCGAATAAATTTAACACAGGCCTCTACACAGAAAGCGGGTGCCTGGGGAAATGGAAACATTGCGTGCGTGCTCTCTCTCTCCTTGCTCTATCTTTAAACCTCCCCCAACCCTTTGCCCTGTGTAGGGTGTAAGGTAGGGTAAGCATACCAGCCCTCTCAGGCTGGTTAAAATTCCTGCAAATCATTTTCTTCTGTTCTTTCCTTGCGGTTTGCTTGTAAACTCTCATTGACGCTCACGAGTGAAACATTCGCCGAAATGATTCGCTATAGTAATCCGGTGGTCTAGTTGTTGTCGTGCTAGACTACTGATTCGAAGGTCACGGGATGATGGAGGTGAAAATGCCTGAGGCCCGTGTGCCTGAATATATAGGTGCACATAAAAGAACCCCAGGTGCTCCAAGTTTCCGGATCCCTCCCCTACAGTATCACTCACAGTCGTATTGCTACGTATCACGGCTTTGTGACGTCACACCTCGAAAATTATTATAAGACTAGCAATATTCGTAGCAATGTCTGCTTTCAGCAAAATGTTTTCTTGTCGCCAATCCCGAGGGGTCATCGGTCGTACTTTTTTAGAAATGGATGAGTACGAATGATGTAATTATTCTACGGAGTGGCTAATTATCAAACCGAGAGAAGAGCTGATATGCTGGAGATATTGCAAACATTGTCAAGCTTGAATACACCACTACAACTTAAATTACTTTTTCCCTTACGAGAAAATTCGAGGTTCGGTGTATTTTTACTTTCTTCACATCTATAACACGAAAGAGTAACAAGAAAAAAAGAACCTAGCATATTTTCTTACGTTCTGAACGACACCATAATAACTGAGGTTGACCAGTATAAATACTTAGGTGTCACATTTAATAACAAACTTACTTTGTCAGATCATATATCACTTACATGCTCTTCAGCCTTCGCAAGTTGTGGTTTTTGAAAAGAAAGCTTAGTAAAGCTCCGGCGAGTACAAAGCTTTTGGCATACAACGCAATTGTGCACTGATAACTTGAATATGCAGCGGTTGTATGGGATCCTCACACCAAAAAAGACATCATGAATTTGGAGCGTGTGCAGAGGAAGGCTGTTGGATTTATTTTCGGAAAATACAAAAGAGAACATTCCCCTTCACTTCTGATGCTTAAGAATAAAATAAGTTCACTAGAACATCGCCGTAAACTTAGTCGCCTACAGTTCCTGCACAACATAATAAATGGGAAAATTGGCCTTTAGAAGCCTCATTGTTTAGTGCCCCTAAACACACGGTCGACTAGACAGAGACACAGCTTTTCTTTCACGCCTAGATTCGGCAAAACCAAATCTCACCTGAACAGTTTTTTTCCGCGCACCATAAAAGAATGGAACTCTTTACCTGTTCACGTCATACAATCGGAAACCTTTACAAAAGAATCGGAAAACCACTTCTCCTAATATTTAGTGTTTAAACATTTCTTGCAATTGTGTCGTGAATCCCATGCGTCTTGCACTGTACGTTTTTCTTCTTGCATTGTTAGTATTTTGTGAATGCCTTGTCATTGTATTTGCCCCTCCTGCATGGGCCAGCATAATGGCCAGCAGGAGCGATATATAAATAAATAAAATATCACTATTATTTCACTGCACTGGAAACAGTACAACCGACATTCACTGTGGGCTCCTTGGCTTCATTAGCTGCTGCTTTTCACTAAGGCAATGTCAAACAAAAGAAAACGAGCCTTCGAAATTATCTTCTTTCATTATTCTTTAAGCATCTGTTTAATCAAATATGTTTCACTACGGTATATTATGCAGAGTTGTGTTTAGGATTTTTGCAAGTGTAATATCACCATGGTTACGCCCGAAGATGGACAAGTGGGCTATGTGGCGGACATTTATCTTAAGAAATTTATCAAGCTCAATGTGAAGACGGGAAACATTGCAACAGCAGTACAAGCGTCTTGTCCTGTCGTTCATCAGTCTTTTGTCTTCAGAAATATTGAAAGAAAAGTCAGTTCTGAAAAAAAAAAAGGGAAGTCGTAATGCTGAGGTGACTGCTTCAATTTCTAACAATATTTTCTCGTTATAGAACTTCAATTTATGATGTTTAGGAAATTCCGACACAGGTCTATAAATGTTCACTTGTATATTTCATAGGATAATTTCTCTTTTTCATCTATTATGTGGGAACCAGAAAATATATGCTGTTTCAAGAAAATGATTCATTGATTGTTAGCAACGTGCCTCATTTTCTTTAACGCAATAGCTTTATTCCAATTCATTCAGTGGATATCTCAGCAGTGTATTTCTGTCATCTATGTGAAACATAAATTTGCAAAATCCAGAAGGTCCTTAAAATTACTGGAATAGCGTGGTCATTCGAATTGTTTACCGAAAAGCGGTAACTGCAGTAGGTTCGCAAGTACAGCCTATGGTAATTTCAACAGCAGCTTTTGTCTGACAGAAATGTGATCTATCTTTGTACGAGCCGCTGGAAACACCAGTGCTGGAAACTCGCAAAGTGCTCTGCACTGAACCTCATTCATCCACGCAGACATTGTTCTTTCATAAGAAAGAAGGTTGCTATCGAAAGTAAGAAATGCCCGATAGCCCCAAATAAGTTCGCTTTTCCGGGTATGCAAGTTTACTGATATTAATGTGACGCATTCAAGCGAGCTGTATTGTGTTCTGCTGGCACCTCTGGAGATAAGCATGCTCACAGGATAGCGTATCTTGTAATGGCACTGCGCACTATGCAGTCGTTCATTAACAATAAGTTCTTTGAGAACCACATCTTCTCGTCTTCTACTATGACGAAGTTGGTGCGCTGATTTGTCAATAATTAGCTTTCACCAAGGAGAATAGAATTAATGATATTGAACGTCTTGAAAGCGCGATATGATTATGAGAGACCTCGTATAGGAGGGCTCCATGAATTTCGACCATGTGCGCTTCTTTAAAGGGCCCCTAACTTTTTCCCGAGTCCACGGATGAGAGAGCAGTTTCTTTTTAGCATCACTAACCTTCCTGCTGGCGATGCTACCCCCTCGCCACTTATTATTTTTTGTTCATAAAGCAAGTATACAAAGCAGCACTAAGCGTTAAGCTTATCAAGATTCTACTGTTGCGCAGTCGGAAACACACAGAACGAAGTCAAATCAATCAGTTGGTCGCGCATGGTTGCTGCGCGAGATGAAGAACGGGTAGGAAGCTTTATGACTAAGCAGTGTAGTAGGCGATTCAAACTGATATTTCTGGTGTATAGACCAATGGAGAGCATTTGCCTTGATGACGTCACGTTAGTCGCTCATTTTGACGTCACGAAATGAGCCGGGAAAACTAGAAACGACAAGAGAAAATAATGCGCTCTTGTGTTGTTGTTCTTTATGTTCTCAGAGACCATTTAGGGGCATCTTAACGTGCACCTAAATGTAAGTACGTGGTCCTCTCGGCGTTTCGTTTCTGTCGAAAAGCACCCGGGACTCGATCCCTCGACTTTCAGCGATTGAGAGGAAATAAGACACCAGAAAAGTGGAACATGAGTACCACTCTTTATTGTGCTCAACAGTTACACAAAAGAGGCAACCCGATTCGAGAAGTAGGACTATTTTTTTAATATATTCATAGCAGTGAAAAGACGCGGGGAACAGGACAAACGACGGTCTCGTGCAGCCGGCAATGACATGGTGAAAACGAGACGTGAGAGACGAAACACTCATGAGCGCAGCACGAAAGGCAGCTTTGATACCGCGCACCTTGGCACGTGCTGTAATGAAGGAATGAAGGAGAGGTGAATAGGAGTGATCGGAAGGGCATGTGAGGCGACTACAAAAGTAGCGGTCACTATAGAATACCGCACGACAACGACGGCAACGCAGGTGACACCCTTTAGACAAAGCGGCAGGCAGGAAACCCGCTTCCATGGCAAGGCAAGCGTGGCACCCACACCGCGTTAGCAGGTCCTTGAGCGTCGCTAGGAAAGAAAGCGGCAGTTCGAAACCCGGAGCGATGCTTTTGGCACGCTTTAAACAGAGGTGGGGGAGGTGTCTTCACTCGCAATGGCGGCGGAAAAGCGACGAGTACAAAGGATACGCATACCCAACCCCACATTCAACACGCGGAGGAAAAGGGCGTCGAGGTGACACACGAGGAACAACAGACACGGGACAACGTGGGAGGACGGAATGAGAAAGGACGACCGAGAAGGAGGAAGAAAAATTTACAACGCCCGGCAGAGCGACAGGGAACGCGCCTGGCGCTCTCGCCTGGCGCGGGGGTCTTTCCGTAGTCGTAACACGGAATCACACGCCGGGGAAGCGGAGGTGTTCCGAGGCGAAGCTCGCTTCAAGGGTGAGACGTTCTGCTCAGCCCGCCCTGGGACCGGCGGGGGCGCGGGGACGGTTGCCCTCGTTGGCGATGGCGGCCTCTGGTCCGGTCGGCGCGCTAGACTGGATCACGACGTCGGCGGGGTTCTTGGACTCGGTGCCCAACTCGTTGGTGACGATCTCGGCGCGGTAGCCGTTCTCGTCGGCCGTGTAGCTGACGGTACGGGTGCGGCCGTCGGCCAGCGTCATGGTGTAGCGGCCCGTCACGCGTCCGTTGCCGTCTCCGCTCTCCTCTCGCGTGTGCGAGCCCTCGGCGTCCTGGCTGGCGTAGTTGAAGGAGTACGGGATCGGAGGGTAGTTCTCCTGCACCGCGTTGAAGCCACCCCTCTGCGCAGCCTGCGAAAGTTTGAGGAAAAGAAAACCAACTTGAAGGCCACTCACTTAAGCGACCACGTTTGGGATACGCTGCACCATGCATCTGCATTGTGAATTGCATGCACTATTCGTTTCTCTCTCTCTCTCTCCTTTTTGCCTCGTTGTACCTTTCCCCACGTGTAGTGTAGCGAACTGGTGAAAGTCTATTTAACGTCCTTGTCTTTCCTGTATTCTCTCTCCTTTTTAGGGGAAGAACAGCGGTTAGAATCAATGAAGGACATTGCAAGGCTTTCGATCTGGTCCCTGCGCTTAAGGCAAAAGCTTTTTTGGGTGCTCAAGCGTGTCATAAAGCTTTAATTCTTAAGTGGTAGAAAGAGATACTGCGTAAGGAGCACTCAGTGAGAATGGCTTTATCGTCTCTACGTACACCCTGCAGTGAAATAGTGTGCGCCCCCATGCAGAGCATGCCCGTGATTCATTTAGAGTTATACGACGGTCCATTTCGTTTAATCCGGTTATCCGCCTTCGAAGGTTAAAAATCTAAACAGTCTGGATTTCTAACCGATCTGCAATCATCAAGCCTAAAGACAGGGGGACGCTTGTAGAACTGGTGTGCTCACTCCAGTGGGTCATGATCTTGTCCCTCTTGTCGCCTTTTATATCTCTCTGTCCCAGTGCTTGGCAGAAAACTGGGCGTGCGTTTGGTTAATCACTCTTCGCTTTGCTGCTTATCTTTGTTTCTGTCTTTCTAGAGAAAAGCTAGCTAACCTGTCTGGCTTTCTGTCAATCCCCCACTCTCCTATGCGGCAGTGAGCCAGCATACTGAAGGCTGTTCCCGAACTGTAATTCTTTTTTTTTTTCATAACCAGGACTCGTAATCTAGATATCCGACCTGCGTCTCTCGCAACTTTATCTTTCTTCTGTTTTCAAAAACACGACGGTTATTGGTTTCATTTACGAGGAAACCACTGCACGTGCACAGCATGGAGAATGAAGGACTTAAACCTTGCAAGGACGCGCGTTGAATCACGTGCACGCCGTAACGCGAATTACCAGATTCATTAGTGCCGCAGACTGGTTTCACCAGTGCTCCAACCTGCCCGTTTGACCGCAGGTCAAAGGTCTAAGAGCAGCCTCCACCGGTATGCCCGCGATATACGCAAATGACTCGATCGTTCCGCCAAACCGGCTTCACCTGGTGACTGGAGCAGCTGCTACTTTCTTTTCTTTTTACTGCATGTTCCTTGTAAACTGCTATACTCACTCAAACTAACGCTTTTAGGGCTTCTGAGCAAAGGGTGTGCAATTATCGGACTTTTCTTATCCTTCTAAGGCAAGCTCTTTAAACGATCAGCCGCTTTCCGTGAGGGTGCTGCTAGAAGACCATCATCGCCCCCTATCAGCCCATATGACAATAAATGAACGGAATGGCCTTTTTTTTTTCATTCTACGAGCTCGTCTTTTCAAAATACACAAACAAATAAATCGATCAGACAGTTAGGTAAGTGGAAGTAAGCATAAGAGTTAGGAGACATTAACTGTTGTTTAGCTTTAGTGTAGTATTTGGAATTACGCGTCCGACACTGATTCGAATCACCGATTACTGATTTGAATTGCAGTCTAACCTCCAAATCACGCATTCAGTGCTGATTTAGTTGAAACGAGAGGCACTTCCATGTCAACTCCATTATGTGTTTTGGTACATGAAAATTCCTCCGAGAGTTAGCGAGCGTCCACCACCGAAAAGGGTGAGTTTTCATGCACTATATTTCAATTAGCGTCATAATTACTACACTACTGTTAAACACAACAGCTAATGTTCCCTATGCTTTCCTTGGCCTAATTGTGTCCTGAATTCATTGATTTGTGTACCGAGGTATTAAAAACATTTTTGTGCTTCCTGAGGTAACCGCACTTGCGTTTTCGCTTCCTACATGTGGCGCAGTCCAGCACGTATCAATCAGTTCACTGCTCTTTTTACTTTGCCCCTTCTCCCCATTTTCTCTGATTTCTCTATTTTCTTTTTCCGATGTCTCAGAGAAGAATGAAAAACAGGACGATTTTTTTGGTTACCTCTCTGTGAGCTGCCTGTCAGTCTACAGCCTTTATTTGTTATTTATGTATGCGAAAATGACTCCGAAGGGACTCTAAGTGTGCTCGCATGGGTAGTGTGTTCTCTGTGCGTTCTCTCAACGTAATGTTGCCTGTGTATCGGTTCAAATAATAATTTTGAAGCATTTACGTAGTGATGGACTTCGCACCTATCAAACACATGAAGTTATTGCTTATGCTAGCAGTTGACAGTTTCGCTATCATTCATTTTAGGCTCTGGGGTAGCAATTACGGTGATAGTTACAACAACGTGTTTCCTTAATTAAGTGTTTAGAAAAAAAAGTTTACGATTGAGAGTAGACTGCTTGTGCTCCACTATGGCAATAGTTGCGCACAAATTTAGGTGAAGATAAAGATAAAACGCTCCCGTATGTGTTACCGTTTAGGAACCTTATAATTAGATACGCGCATGGCTTCACTGCATACTTCAGTTAACCCCGCTGTGCATTTGCGGAAAGTGATAATTGATTAGGTTCCCTTTAATTTCATCATAACATTAACTGTGATTACATCATTACCTTTATGTTTCAATATGGTGCTCATTCGCTATACCGCATTTTTATCATTTGCACATGTCATCCATAGGCGGCAAACCTAAGGACACACTGACCCGCCGGTCGCGGGTTCGAATCTCGGCTGCGGCTGCTGCATTTCCGATGGAGGCGGAAATGTTGTAGGCCCGTGTGCTCAGATTTGGGTGCACGTTAAAGAACCCCAGGTGGTCAAAATTTCCGGAGCCCTCCACTACGGCGTCTCTCATAATCATATGGTAGTTTTGGGACGTTAAACCCCACATATCAATCAAATCAAACCTAAGGACATTTAATTGTATTATAGATGAATGACACAGGCTGAGATGCTCGTCTATAGAGCATGTTTTGTGCTGTGTGAAGGCATCTGTGCGCAGAGCAAATCCTCGCAAATGACAACGTGTGCAGTAAAGTTACTCATTTGCTATACCATAGTCACTTGTCATCCTGCCCCCCAATACCAGTGTTTAGTAAAGTAACTCGTTGTACTATACCATAGTCACCTGTCATCATACCACTCTCTACCACCTACTCAACCTTTGTCCCCACAACAATGAAGAGCAGCGTGCTAGAGGCATGCTGAGCATGCCAACCTCTCTTTTTTTTTTCTTAATTAACTGTTGTCTTCTCTCATTATATCAACTTGTGAGCTTAATTTAGCTCAATGTAGAAATTATTTTCACGATTAAGTAACTGAAAGTATGAAACACTGAATAAAAAAGACAGGTACACTTACGGCGACGCAGATGAAGGCGAGGAGAATAACGAACTGGAAGAAAGCAAACGTACAGAGCATTTAGCGCACGGTTTTGTTAAAGTTGAGTAAAACAGTTTGTAATGATCACATACTGATTAAACGGATGTGACTAACTGGATCGTGCAAGTACACTCTATCTTGTGGGCTATTACAAAGGGTTTTAAAAATTTCGCGAAAGATTCTGTCGAAGAAACGCAATGTTGTTCTGTTGTTCAGGATACGGTATAAGCATTTTTATATACTGAATAGATGTTTGGCCGCTTCTACAAGAAACCTTTATTTAATAAAAAGAAATGACAACGAACGACAATTATGCGTACACTACAAAGGTGGCATTTAACAACGCTTTCCACCGGGTTTGTTGGTTCGTACTTGCAAGGAAATACGGTTGCGCGAAAGCTATGCAAGGACGCAAATGACACGGACGAGCGTAAACTTCCAACATAGTTGTAATTTTGCCCTCGTCCGTGTCCTCGGCGTCCTCGGATCCATCTTTCCTTGAATGTGGGGTTTACTTTGCGGCAATCACCTGACCTCTCTTTGCTGCTGTTAGCTAATCGTTTGCAGTCAGCGGCTGCACACCACGAGTGATTGGCTTAACATTAAGCGTTAACTCAAGTCTTTTCACCTCCATAACAGTATGACAGCGCTATGTGAACGCATCTTCAAGTTAAGTATGAAAGTAGTGATGACAAGGCTGTGTCTAGTAATCTGACAAGTGACAGTCTAGGTTTTTGTGATTTGTTGTGAAGCTTGTGCTTCGCAAGGGTGTAATCATGTGTCAGTGAAGTATTAACAATGATGTCGTAAATACGAGACCTGTCTAGACTTTCTACAACAACTTTGGTATAAGACACCGAATAAGTAATACAGTGTGACCACACAACTCAACAGCAACATGAATAAAAACTTCGTGGAGGACCGTGGTTTTTAGGAAAGTTGTGAGAAAGATTCATAAAACCTGAATGTACAGCTTTGCATCGTTTTCCTCAATAACGATGCCGATTACAGACACAATTGATGACAATCAATATAGGCGATCAATACAATATTGAACATGCATGTGCTATTGAAAGTACTATCACGCATGTACAATAACTCGTTCGGATATTCACACTTGATAAGTATCAATGTCGCCTGAACGTAGGCTAGGAAATGAAATGTGGGATGCAAGCTGATTCGTCAGTGCGGTGACAATTACTCGTCAAGTATGGTTTAGAGACACTCGGTAACAGGCTATGAAGACTGCATTTAAAGCCTACAGTAAACTGGCTAAGGTTTCGAAACATTGATAGATTGAATATGGCGCGAAAACGTATGCAAACGTTTCTTAAGTGAAACGGATGAGGAGGATCATAGGTGGTAATGCGGCTAAACTGCGAATAAAGGTTCCGAGATAATTAGCAAAGAGAATGATGACCGCGCATGACCAGTGCGCGTCAACGACGACGAATCGCGGCCGGTGGGAACCGCGTGGCGTAATCCCAAGGAGCGCGGTTTTTCGAGGAACCACGTAGAACCGGGGGTGGCGGCTTTCAAATCCAACGGAACCGTGTGTCGTCGGCGCCCTGTCGTTTCCGGTTGACGCACTCACCTTGTGCATGTCTGCAAGAGTCGGGCACTCGGGGAGCGAATCGGGAGGTAGGGGCAAGCACTAGAGGCAAGTTGTTGCGGACGACTCCACAGCGTGGCTCATCTCCGTTTTTATAGAGCTACACCCGACCATCGGCATTCCTGGCGCCGCCAATCAGCTGCCTCTGTCCTACATTGCGCAATACCCCCGAAGCCTTAAAGAACCACGCGCATGCATGAGTGGCGTACCACGATTGTGAAGGTGGAAGAGCTCCTAACCCTAGACCCCACACCCTCTTTCTCGCGTGCCTTCGTCTGCACCGTTCTATTCAAGAAAGAAAAGAAAAAGTATGAAAAGCAACCAAACTCCTTTCTTCCGCGCTCACTCTCCATTACCTATGGGTGCCGAGCGAAAACAACAAGATGTTACCAGCAAGTCGCTGCGACGAGCCCGGGTAGTCCGTCTAAAGAACACTCCACGTTCGAGCCTCCTCTCTCTCTCCTGACTCCCCTCTAGTTTTTCAGGGATCACAGTACATCTGCATACTTCAATCGAGACTGATGGTGGCTTCGTGAAGGCAAGAAGCGGGAGGGGGGGGGGGAAGCGAGAGGTGCGAAGGTGAGCGAGCACAGTAAGTGAATGAGGGTCGCGGGCGAGGAGGAGCCGCAGCTGCCCCGAGGCAGGCGACCCGTTATGGCAGAGTGGGCGGTCATCATCCGCCCCTGCAGCCACGCCGCAGGGGAAAGGAAACCGAGTAGAAAGTTGGCCTCCGCCGCATGACGCCGGTGGCGAGCTTGTTTCCTCGTTTTTGCCGCGCCGGCACGCAGGAGAGACGCGTCCCTGATGCGATCGGCGTGAGCGACTCATCGACCGCTGTCCGGCGGATGCGCGGATGAGGGGATCCGACTGCCGTACTTGAGGGCTATACTACGCTCGCGTGCGCGGCGGGAGACGTCGCGACAAGCGGACGCACGCTGTGCGGTGCCAGGGCGTCGTCGTCGGGGGTCGACTCGTTTGCACGCGTCGTCGATGGATACGAAGTCGTGTTTACGTTACGCTCCTTTCTTTGTTTCTTTCGATGGCCTACAGGGACGTTCCTCGTATGCCGACGACGGCCGTGACACTTAAAACGCGCTTGCAATGTGAACAGCAAGCAGGTAGATACGAAATTCAGACTCGCCTATTCAAGCTGGATCTTTCTTGAAGCGTGGGTGACAATTCTACGCGATGCCCGCAATCGGTGAACTATACCCCGTTTCATGTAACTGCATCCCACTGCAAACCCCAGCAACGTATGCGTTTAGTATTTTAAACAAGCACGAAAACGCGGTGCATCCTCGTTTGAGGGTAGTCTTTCTCCCATCTTTTCTGGCCGGATTTACCGAAACAGACAAACGTTTTGACAGTGTGCTGCTTGAACGGTGGGTAATCATTTATCGCTTGAAACGTGCGCTTCTAGAAATTGTTCTGACCGTTTATGAGAGGCAGCTACAGCAGTGGAATGCATAGACCGTGGGGGACGTCTCGTTAGCACTGTCTTACTATAGCTGCTAATAACGCCAGTTCTCACACGCTATCCAATGCAAGGACCGTGTCGCCCCAGAAAATTGACGCTATTCGGGTGTTTGTTTTTGTGGTGCCCTAAGCTAATTGTCTGGTATCTCTAATTGTTTTATGGTCGATTTTTCTCCAGACGAAGGAAATATTAACGCACTGATTGAAAAATTGTAATAAAGTTCACTTGATGTCACTTTCGTTCGGATTGTGTTCGTGGGCGCTTGCGCGTGGAAAAAAAAAAAGGGGGGGGGGGGGGGCGGGGTGTACTTCCGCTTCTGTTGGCGACCACGGTATCCAGTGACATCATCACGAGTTCGGCCCTCATGTGCGTATGAGTGAGCGTTAAGTATTCGCCTCCAGAGGACTTCCTCTTGCCTCCACGAGACGCCATAATCCCCACCACCACGCGATTTAAGGCCACAGGTGGCATTCTCCGAGTGCACATGCCTCCATGTAAGCCGATTACAGCTTACAACTGAAAACTCTCCGATTTTATGAGGCTCTTATATAATCTTTCGTTCTCGATTGTAGTTTTTGTAAATTTGGCGCCAACCTGTCGGGACGGTAGTCGACCGCATACATTGTCTACTTGTTTCAGGGGCTGTCGAAATCCTCTGTTACATGTTAAACTAAACGAAACTGTGAGTTCTGTTTTGTAGGGTACAGTAAGAATAAAGACTGAAAAGAACGATGGAGGTACAGCACTTTCCCCTTGTATTTGTTCTTAATGTGTGTCCTAAAAGTGAACATGAATTACCGACATGCCCAAACACATGCTCTTTCATAATAGAGGCTGCTGAAGTTTTCTGTTTACTTCGTGCTTCAGTATACGCACTTTTCTATGATACACGATTTCCTATACGTGAATTAAAGAATCACATCTATACTGAAAGCAGTGCTTGTATTCATCTGACCTAAACAAGTGAAAATTATCCTATAAAGCCAATAAATATAAAAGGGTGCGGTTGTGAACTTTTCTCGTTGTTTCTTACTGCTCTCTACCCTCCCTTCCTTGAGTTTCATCAGCCACTACAGTTTTGGTAGAATTTATTGAATACGTGCTTCGTTTTTTTTTTTTTAACAATTGGGTTTTACGTTTACTCGAGCGATGCGCACGTGATTACTGTCACCGTGTAAAGGGGTACAGACTATGTAACAAGCTTGTCGCCAAGTTTAATTACCACTGTTTATCACGGTCTAAATTTGGTCTCGAGGGTTCAGTTGTTCGCACTGACGCATCTGTCGTCATCCTGACCATCTATGAGACGAAGCCAGCGGGAAGTGAGTAGAAACAAAATCGTTTAGCAAATAATGCTTACCGCGAGTAGCACAACGCAAAAACAAAAATAATGAAAACGAAACGCGAAATCAGTAAAGGCGCAGGGTTGTACCGCAGTTTACATTGGTGTTTTTTCCACTGGCTCGTTTCAATTTATGTCATCCGTGTTTAACCCTAGTACTGAGAAACGGATACAGAGCTCTATGTGAAGAGATGACGAAGAATAACAACTGCAGAGAACGAACGGAACTGCAGAAAACAAACCAACTAACCCAGGTTAAATGTCGTGTTGAACGTCATTAACATAACAAATGCAGTAAAATTTTTTTGTTCTTTCGATGCAAATGTTTTCGGGCTTAAAGGTCTGCCCTTAAAAAAAAAAAACATCCATTTCGGTAAAAAGCATAGACACTTTAGTAAGAATCTAGCGCGTGCTTCAATCAGAGAAACTGAGTGCCAATTTATTTATTTATTTATTCATTTATTTATTTATTTATTTATTTATTTATTTATTTATTTATTTGTTTATTTATTTGTTTGCTTCTTTCTTTCTTTGTTTAAACGTACTACACGCCTGAAGGTTTATCGCGGGGGTGGAGGTATAAAAATAAAGTTACAAAACAACACAAATGTAATTGAACATAAAGATCGATGGTTCTTACCATACAAGACAAATTCAGCAAGGGGTAACGATATAACATGATTTTTGTACGTACTAGTTGGGTGACTAAAAGGATACTTGTTAGCTCCGAGATGATACGTGGTGGATGTTGGTTTATAGAGTGTGATATATATGCTCATTCAAGTAAATCTTGAAGAATCAATGAGAGTGTTAGAAAACTTCAAAATTTAACGTGAAGTCGAGAACACTGCAGAGACTAGTAAGCTGGAAGATAATGACGGTGTAAAGTAGGTGAAAAATACCTGTCATTTCCACAATAGACAGCATATAGCTTTCCTCTGTACAGGTCACCCATCAAACTAATTGCTAAAAGTAGCTGGATCACGTTTAGGAGATCACATATGAACAGCTTTACGGAAGACAATTCGCATCCGCCAAGTGTCAAACCATGATTGAATCGGACGCAAATGAGTAATTATGAACGATGCGATCATTAGTGTTTTAAATCGTATATACAGTAAAACACAACCATCAGCGTACATGCGGATAAGAACCGGAATATTACGTGGTGGATCATTTATGTCAATTATGAAAGGAACAGACTTGATATGGAACATTGAAGCTCGCCATACAGATAATTGAGAAGATTTAAACTTTACGTACAGAGATTGATTGTAGGAGAAAAAATCCAATTCACCAAATCTTGGTTTTAATAATGACAATGAGCTTTTTAAACAGCTAATATATATCGTGCTCTTTTAACTAGGGCGGTGCTAATTATGTTCACTATAGGCTTCAAACAAACGCCAATTGACGGGCATGTACAGGCTAGCAATACATTGTCAAATCGACGCATGTAACAGTATACAAGCATACATTGTTTTCCTCTATTAACGTAAAAAAAGGACATACAATTGTTCGAGGTGTGTTTGCGTAAGTGTAAATACAACTGAATTATAAGAGCACGTTAAAAGAGTAGCGACGAAAGGAGCAAGATGACGCCACGGAGTGTGGAAAGCGACGGACCGACCAGGTGTGAAGGCCACCTAAGGCCACTGACTTCTCACATGTTTTCCCACCGCACTCAAACGCATCGCAACGCGATGCTCACGGAACTGTCGATGTACCAAGATATCCAGGGAACCCGAACAAATCTCCCGGCACGTTTTCGTCGCCACGTGCTGGCGATGAGATGGAGCTGTCACACGAGCCGCGGCTCATAAAGCGCCGCGCTATAAAAGCTACGGCTACCGCGTTCCGCGGCGCGCTCGTGATTCTCGCCTCGTTGCGACAGCCAGATTCCGTCCTTTGTTTCCTCCCCAGACTGCGTAAGTACGTCCGCCGAGCGTGCAGTGTCGTAAACTGCGGCGGCATCCCGTCCTCCTCCCTTTCCTCTATCTCATCCTTCTTCTTTCGAGTCGGCCATCCAACGCACGCATGGTGGCTGCGTCGACGAGCCTCTCGGACAAAAGAAATGGCAGCGCAACCGAATCATCGCCAGCACGCCCACTGCGCGGTCCCGAAAGGCATTGCCTCATTCGATTTTGAACGTGAAGCGGCAATGGTCACGCCGTGTACTGCGATGCACCGCTGAGAGCCAGCCTGGCGGGTCAGTGCAGAAACGCCAGCCGCCGTGTCGGACGGGCCATGTAATGGACACGCAACTCGGTCCCTATACAATTTGACTTGTCTCGCACTCT